GGACAAACAATTTGATAAAAAGATTACTAAAACAGATGTGGCCCATATATTGGCAACACTTTTACCGAATTGAAATAAATCCACGTTATGAAATGGTTTTGAGACATGTGGGTTGTGTCCATTTAGTCTAGACAAAGTCGATTACACAAGATGTCTGATGCCCTTGAAATCACAGCACGCCATTTTAGATGATCGTCGTTCCGTGCATATGAATTACCAAATATTTTAAGAATAACGACTGACTCGGAAATACCTGTATCAAGTTTGCGTTGTATCCTTTCACTTAATAATGATTTATCTGTATCAGAGCTTATACAAGCTGCAGAGATTATTGTTGAGTATCAGAAAGAACACTAACCCTTATGTTTTTCATCAACTAGGCAGCAAATCACAATTTTTGGAGGTGAAAGGGTGATAGTGGATGCCGAAGCAAACAAAATTCTTTTAGAAAGCCCTAAAATATTTATAGAGATTTTTCCATTGCCAAATACCTATCAAAAAGCAAAAAGCAGGTAAACAATACCGTTATTTTGTACTAACAAGTGAATATTCGGAAACTGCGGAGATAAAAAAAACAATGAAAAATTGGGCACAAATGGAAAAAGCAGAATTAAATTAGTCAGCCAAATATAAAAACAAACTGACAAATTAAACAAGACATACAAAACCAAAGCCTCTGACATTATAATACTCTCTAAATGTTTGATCTAACCCGTCAATACCACAATATCAGAAAAAGTTGAAAGAATTACTGAAGCAGAAAAATTTAAAGTGACTATAGGTAACCATCCAACTACAATCCGAAATAAAGGCCTATTTCTACAAAATATCGAGAACATGCGAAAAGTTTTACTAAAAAAGATACGTCAAAAATATAACCGAAGAAACAAAAAACATGGTAGACCAACGAAACCACTTTCAGATGAAGAGATCTAAGGAAAATGTTTGAAGAAGATTTGTTCAAGTCTTATAACAATAAGATTTTTTTACTTGGTAAAGCCATGCTGCAGCTATATTAATAGTATAGTTGTAGCACGAATGGGTCGGCTCTACTGGGGTAGGACCACGCTCTCACGGAATACCAGCGTAAAATAGCAGCTTAACACTCCTGTGTTTCGTATCTTGAGTGTAGAGAACCGGAGACCCTTTTTACTGGAAAAGAGGCATTCCATCTTAGTCCTCACGGGTGACAACACACCTGCATTTTAATTCGCAAACGAGGATAGATGTAGATGTCTATGGGCCGCAGCAACCACTTACCATCAGGTGAACTGTGTGCTCGTTTGTCACCCTATCCTATAAAAAAAAGATGGAGCTTAGAAAGATGTGGGTATAACTTTTTAAGACTTACAGTAGTGCCAATGTTTATTCTTAATTAACAGTGCCATTCAGTATGCTAAAGTGCCAATGATTGTAACATTCTCTAGAATTTTTTTATTAGATTTTAAATTAATTAAATGTTTCTTTTTAAACTTAATGCGTCGTTTTATTTATGGTTATGTTAACTAAAATCCAACAAAACAATAAAAACTATAACGATTTTTTTATATACGAGAATTAACCACGTACAAGTAGAAGTCAGCTTAGAGTGCCAAACATTATACTGTTTACCCTATAAGTGTATATAATAAATAATATAATGAGTATGTACAATATAAAATAAGATATAAAAAAAGATATTTATATTATTCTATGAATACGTAATTCAGCTGTTTTATTCTCCCTAAAAGTTAAACCGAAAAAATATTCTTTTAGGTTTACCTTAAAAAGAACGATGCTCTTAAGTTGACGGATAAGTGGGGGCAAGTTGTTCCAGCATTTAGTAGCTGCATATCGGAAAAAACTGCGGAATGCTGCCGTTGTGTGTTTTAGTATCGAAAGGACATTTGATTTTGATCGAATGTCCTTAAAATTACCGTCCTTGTTCAATTTTAGTTTTTACAACAGATACCTTGGCTTTTTTGTTTTGAAAGACACCGAACATAAGTGTTGCCAAATGTAGCGTTTTTAATTGGGACATCCTTAATAACTTTGATTCGTTTAAGAAGGGACCGAAGTGAGTTCGTGAGGAAATGTGGTGTATATATCTGGCTCAAGCATTTTGGATCCTCTGAATTATTCAGTCAGTTTTCGAAAGTAGCCTTAGTCCGTATACCGTACCGGCATAGTTTAGCTTGGAGAATACAAGGTAGTTTGCAGAGCTAAACGCGCAGATCTTTACTCAAAATGTCACGTATTCGGTATAACACTTTTAGTCTGTAAAAGCAGTCACGTGTGATCTCTCATAGCGAAGCATCATCCATCAGCAACCCCAGATTCTTGGCTTCTGTCACACGAGTTATATCTTATATTGCACAAGGGCAAAGTAACATTTAAATAGCATCATCCAATTGCACTCCTAGACCTCCCTAATCGCTACAAAGACAATTCTAAACGAAATTATTCCCCCCATCGGTTACTGTTTATTTGAGCTTTATCGCCAGTCTATTACCACCACAGCTTACTAATCCGTTGAGCTGTGTCAGTTACATGCAATACTATTATCAGTTATATTAAGTAAGTAGTTTTTGTGATTATTTCTACCAAAAATTAGCCCTTGAATGACAGGATATACACGCGCCTTACAATTTAGACTTGGATCTTACAATAATAACATAATTTAAAATTAAAAATTTTGTACAGCCGACTTCAATATAAGTTATTAAGAAAAACTCAAAAACGATTGATCTGACCTTGATTAAATTCAAATGGGATCACACGAGAAGTATCGGCTTTCATATAAAAAAAGAATCATCGAAATCGGTTCACCCAGTAAAAAGTTATGAGGTAACAGTCATAAAAAAAACATACAGTCGAATTGAGTACCGTCTCCTTTTTGAAAGTCCTCAGAAAACCACAGAAATCGTACGATGACGCTTGTGTGAGAAATTAATATATGTCGAGGACATTTGAACTACACCATAATTCATTGAGACAGAGTGGCGAACTTTTCTCTAATCCATAACTCTTTCAGAAATAAGGGCAGGCCTGTGCCACATATATCGGCCATTACAAAGTAACATATTTTATTTTATTCACTTATGTGTCACGTATACCCTGCGATCCATATATATAAACAAAGGAGAAACTTCAAATATTTCCCCATTTAAATGTCTTTAAATGTCATGCAATTAAATCTAAAGAAATAAAATGACTACTTGGTAATCTAAATAAATAAAATGGTGTAAAAATATCCGCCACCCCATTTCGTCCCATAGGTGTCATAAGAGGCGACAGAAGGAAACTGAAACAGAAGAGCTGCATCATCTTCTTGATGACAACTCAAAATAATAACAAACTGCCAACCCGCTATAGTTGCCAGGCGTGACAACCATAGCAAAATCACCCTATGAGGCAATTTATGAGGGAGGCATATGTTTAGCAGTGGCCTTTTATAGACTATAATATATGAAAAGATGTCCACTTAAAAAAATTAAAAGGTTTAATAGAAAGGTTTAAAATAATGACGCATCATGTAAGCAAGCAGACAGTTATAGAGCTAATGACTCCTGTCCTTAGGGGGTCCTATATATTCACGTAACAACGGACGTATGTGTAGTTTCACAGATTTCTATTATTATTTATATTATTCCTTTCACCACGGTCATGTAGGATATTCGATGAAAACCTCATCGATCCTTGCGACAGACTACATCGGTCGTATCGGTCGAACGATCGGGCCAATCAGTCTGCCGCTTAATGTTAAGGATTACTGACAAAGAAAGTAATTAAGGAGTATATTAAATTGTTGTATGACAGGCATTTCTGTTCATGACCGGCACAAAGTACAGTTATCGACAGCTTAGAACGTCTGCCTATGAATAACTATTTAAAGCCCAAAGAGTATTTTCCCAAGGCAAATATAAATATGTAACTACAAAAGTTGCTAATTTGAGATCTATTTTTAGAGGACACATAATAAAATATTAATTTTCTCTTCTCCCTTTCCTTTTTTAATAGAATAAGGGTGACAAACGAGCACACAGTTCACCTGATGGTAAGTGGTTGCTGTGGACCATAGAAATCTAAATTTATCCTCGATTATGAATCAAAATGCAGATGCGTTGAAACACCTGAGGATTAAGATAGAATACTTTGTTTCCAGTAAAAAGGGTCTCCGATTCTCTACACTCACCATAGGAAGCACAGCAGCATGAAACTGCTGTTTTACGCTGGTATTCTATAAGAGCGTCGTCCTACCCGGGTCGAGCCGACCCATTCATGTTACAACCATATTATAGCTGCAGCTTGGCTCTACCACGTATAAAAGTATTTCATCGCACATTTGTAAAATGCTATTGCTAATACAGCTTTGTTTTATTCATCTCTCTGTATAAAAATAAAGCTATGTCCGTTAGTCTCACTAAAATTCATAAATGGCTGGATAGATTTTGATAAATTTTTTTGGGTGTATTTAAATGGGACCCTAGATGGTTTAGATTCACATTTACTCCCGGTAAGTGGCGCTGATGTCAGAAATCACCCGTGTAAAGCCGGGGCGGATCTCTAGTAATGTATGTACGTTACGCAACGAAGCAAACCATTTTCCACAAGTAATGCAAAACGATTGAGTACATTTTAATATTATACTGAAACAACGACTTCTCATCATTCTTGGTGGATCATATTGGCCAAATTGGCCTCTAACAAGCTTGACGTGCTTAGCAGAGCGGGACAGTATTTCATGCCAGTACACCGCCTGCAAGTTTTAAAGGCGCAGGTTCGGTCTCACTTCACTTCACACACACTTCAGGATGATTCGGTCAATAATCCGTACTACCTTCGCTACTTGAATGACCTCCTTTACTTAAATAGCCCATAAAATATCTCATAGTGTGTACCGAACTGTACCATAAAAATTAATACAGTTTTTACAAACATAGAAAATATTACTTAAATATGAACAGAAACCGAATTACAATTTGTATTTGGCAATCTATATACTTGAAATTATTTTACAGATTGATGGAGCAACCGGTGAGCTTGAAACCAATTTATCGGCGTTGGAACGAACCATTCAATGCGCTGTTGCTTTTAGAAACTTTGGTCTCAAGCATGGAGACGTCATGGTGCTGATGGCACCTAACCACCTCGATGTAGCTGTACCATTCTATGCAGCTTTGTATCTCGGAGTGATAATAGCCGCAGTGGACAGGACTTTAGGTGTCAGTACGTATCATTTAGATATACAGTTCTTAAGCCATACTTACATCTAAGAAAAAATCCACTAAATTTAGAAGTACATTTTGGTATAACTAAACAACTTTCTCTGTCTTACGTAGTAGAACGACGCTACATTTTCGTATGTTGGTGAATGACGAGAACCGGAGACAATTTTTACTGGTGATTGCTAGATTTTTTTTAGGCTACAGCTATAAATTACAATAAATAATTTCACTCTCAACATACTTATATCGTATAATTTAAAAAAAATAACTTATTTGACATGTCGTTACGAGTAAACAGTCAGTTATATTATAATTTACCTACGACTGTGTAATTAGCTACAATTCGGTCTTTTAATAATTAAATGATATAAAAACCTAGAATAGAATTGATGGCGACTAATGGATTTTACTTTATGATATTATAACGTAAGATATATCTTTCTGTGAATCTAATATCATAAAATGACACCTGATGATTAATATAAAATATATAGTTTTGCTCTAAAATGACCTAAGTTTACAACTTAACAAAAGCACATTAGATTACCATGATCGTGCGCCAATCATGCGACATATTATTTTGCTATCTTGGTATAAAATTGCATCCAAGGTTACCTCCGAGACTCGCACCTAACCACATAAGATTTTTAATATACTCGTAACTTGATTATTTGACATCCTCTAAAACAATGGAACAGAATGGGTCAACATTAAAATATCTATATTTTTGTAGAATATACGTATTTACGTATCACTAATCATTACGCTAGCGCACGCGGATGAAGTAGTTCGGGAGCGCTTTTTCTTCCGACTTGCTTAACAAAAATCAATATTTAAGGCTAGCTTAGAGCTGTAGCCTAATTCTAGTCTATACTATTCCTCGTGAATCTGGCTGTCATATACAAAAAGAATTTATCAAATCGGACTAGTATTTCTAGAGATTAGTGCCTTTCAACAAACAAAAAACCTCGTCCTTTTATATTATTTTATTAGTATAGATTGTATCTCATTCTTTCCTATAGATTTATATATTTGTCTCTTTTTTGTGTCGCTTTTTAGTTTCATTGAGTTTAAAATTTTTACTTCACCACCGAGGAAGATGTAAATAAGCAATGATGAATGAGCTTTAAATTGCATTTAACAATTTCGTTGGGGCAGAGAGGTACCGAACTCGCTCGCATACTGAATATCTCCTCAGTGGTAGAGCCACGCTTCAGCTTTTGCGTTCGCATAGAATACCAGCGTGACGTAGAAGATTACTTCTGCGTTTCGCCTGTTGAGTGCAGGTGACCAGAGGCAGAATCCCCCCTCCCTTAACATGGTAGCGAAGTTAAATAGAATACTACCCCAGGAGGGTACCAGCACCCCTGGTGACTGAGAATCCCTCGCTGAGCATCCACGCCCAAGCTACCCTACTCTTCCTTAGCGTAGGTACTCAGGCTGCCCCGCGTATTCTGGGGGGGGGGTGAAATTTCCCTAGACTAGAGTTTGCGTGTACGTCAGAGAGGACATTTGTTTTCGACGCAGTTTTCAATGTATGGACCTTTCCATCCTATGGCTGCGCGTAGACAGCGACGACCATCCCCGAGCCTACGGGTGCCTCTATAGGTCCCATAGCGGTAATGCTGTCCGATGTTCAAATGGCTGCAGATTCCGTGCTACTACAGAGTCCATCCGCAGAGATCGTGATGCTTGGTGATTTTAACGCCCACCACGATGAATGGCTTGGTTTTCGTTTAACCCATCATGCGGGTAGATCTGTTTATGACTTTTCCTTGGCATATGGTCTGACACAACTGGTTACTTCGCCTACGCAGATCCCAGATGTGGAAGATCATGTACCTTTCCTGTTAGACCTTCTGCTGACCTCTCATCCTGACGGATATCAGGTCTCCGTCGATGACTCTTTTGACTCTTCGAACCATTGACTGATCCGGAGTACGGTGTCACTCACGCTCCCATCGTGGTTGCATAGGTGCATAGGTCATAGGTGCATAGGTCAGCCGATTGGGCCGGGATGCGGGCTTTTTTTTGCATCCTACCTTTGGGAGCGGGTTTGCTTCTCGCCGGATGATCCCAACGTTGTTGCTGATTTTGTCGCTGATGTGGTACTTCAGAGAATGGAACTATTTATTCCATCATCTGTGGTGCCTATCGGAGGCAGAACTCAGCTATGGTTTGGTCACTCCGGTAAAATTGCAAAAGCAGAAGTGCTACCGGGCCTGGGCTGACGCTATAACGTCTCGGGATACAAACACCAGTGCTCCTAAAAAGAAGTACAATTACGCCTCCAAATCCTTGTGTGTGGTTTTAATATTTTTATTTTATGTTTTGCATGTGGGTTATAAAATAAAGTCAATCTCAGCTCGACCACGGTCCTTTATTTACGCGTGTCCCAAATCATAAAACACAACATGGCGCAGTCGGTAGGATTTTTGCAAATAGATAATAGAGTTAATCGTAAAGTTAATTATATGAACAGTGAAAGTAAATATTTAACGAAACTGAAGACAGTAACATAAAGATAAAAAAATATTATAATGGAATCCATATTATAACTGCCCCAATCTTTTCTCTTCGAAAACAATTTAAATAATGTGATTTCCGGAAATTTATGCAAAGAATGGAAAAAATGGAAAAAAATATTTTTAATATATTATCAATCATGTGAACTTGTAAAAAAGGATGCAAAAGTACAAATAAATATTTTACTGCATATATTCGCAGACTAATGTCATGAAGTGTACGATCAATTTTTACTGGTCAATTTAAAAAAAGGAATTTAAATCAATCGATGAAGTTATTCAAAACTTTGATTCATTCTTTCTTCCACAAAAAAAATGTTACAATGACACGTCGTTTAATTTTTACGCGAGATCAACAGGAAATGGAGTCAACCGAACAATATGTTTTTGAGTTAAACAAGACGGCGACAAAATGCGAATTTAAAGACTTATGTCAAGATTTGGTACGAGATTAAGGTTCATAATCATCAAAGGTTGTTAAGAGAGTCCGATTTAACATTAAAGAAAGCAGTAGAAATCTGTAGTTTAGGTGAGATGTCACGAGCACAAGCTATCAATATAAGCTCGGAGTCTATGGATGGAAGTGGAAACTGTCCATGCGGTCGGAGCTAAGTTCCGCAAGACCCGCCGCAGAAGAACACAAAAACTCTCCGATCACACTCTCAATCTCATGGCTGTTAGACGGGAGATGAAGCTACATTCTTCAACAGATTTGACGGCATACAGGCAACTGAACAGGCAGATCTCCAAATGCATGCGGCGGGACTTACGCACCTTCAATAGAGCTTGCATTGAAAAAGCGATGGAGCGGAACCAAGGCTCCAAAGTCTTTGCCAGAGTTCTGTCTGCCAGAAAAAGCCAACTGTCGAAGCTGAAAATCGAGTGTGGCAGCATCGTTTCCGGGGCACCTGAGATTTTGAGTGAGATTGAGAGATTCTATGGGCAGCTTTACACGTCATCGTTGGAGCCACACGCAAGTGTTAGTAACGATTCAAGAGCGAGTCTTATCCGACACTATTCCGAAGATATCCCGGACGTCAGTCTGAGCGAGATTAGAATGGCTCTCCAGCACCTTAAAAACGGCAAGGCCACAGGCGAGGATGGAATTACAGCGGAGCTTCTGAAAGCGGGTGGAAGACCTGTACTTGAAGTCCTTCAGAGGCTCTTTAATTCCGTCCTCCATGGTGGCATTACACCGGAGGCGTGGAGCAGAAGTGCGATGGTCTTGTTCTTCAAGAAAGGTGACAACGCTCTCTTGAAGAACTACAGACCGAGACCGATTTCCCTTCTGAGCCGCGTCTACGAGCTCTTTTCGAGAGTCATTACGAATCGTCTCGCGCGAAGACTTGACGACTTCCAACCTCCCGAACAAGCCGGTTTCCGAAAGGGCTTTAGTACCATAGACCACATACATACCTTTCGGCAAATTTTACAGAAGTCCGAAGAGTACAATTTGGCACTATGTCTGGCGTATGTGGACTATGAGAAAGCCTTTGATTCCGTCGAAATTTGGGCGGTGCTACAGTCCCTTCAGCGGTGCCAAGTTGACTGTCGGTATATCGAAGTACTGAAGTGTTTGTACAGTAGAGCTACGATGGCTATCCGAGTACAGAACCATAGTACGAAACCTATCCAATTGCAGAGAGGTGTAAGACAGGGTGATGTTATATCCCCGAAAGTCTTCACCGCTGCATTGGAAGACGTTTTCAAGCTTCTTGACTGGAAAGGATACGGTATTAACATCAATGGCGAGTAAATCACTCACCTTCGATTTGCCGACGATATAGTCCTTATGGCAGAATCGCTGGAGGACCTAAGTACCATGCTCAATGACCTCAATAATGTCTCCCAACGAATAGGTCTTAGGATGAATATGGACAAAACAAAGATCATGTTTAATGTCCATGTCACACCTATGCCGGTAGTTGTTGGGAGCACTAAGCTCGAAGTTGTTGACGAGTATACCTGGGACAAATAGTCCCAGGTAGGTAAGTCCAACTTCGACCAAGCGGTCAATCGACGGATTCAACTCGGTTGGGCAGCGTTCGGGAAACTACGACCGACACATCTTCTCGTCAGACATACCTCAAAACCTTAAAACGAAATTGTACTACCAGTGCGTGTTGCCAGTGATGACTTACGGATCTGATACCTGCTCCTTCACTGCTGGCCGTATGAGGAAGCTCAAGCTCGCTCAGCGAGCTATAGAGAGGGCTATGCTCGGGGTTTCTCTGCGTGATAAACTTAGAAATGAGTATATCCGCAGTAGAACCAGAGTAACCGACATAACACTTTTCTCTTCTTAATAATACTTCAAAAGTCAATTTCAATAACATACCATAATTATTAAGTGTTAGTATATATATGAATATATATATACATATGTATATATATATATATATATATATATATATATATATATATATATATATATAGCAGTAGAGTCCAAGCCTCCTCGTTGGTCATTAGTTTAGAC